AGACCCCTGACTCCCCCAACTCCATTTACCCAGCACCCCCGCTCTGGGACAGGAAACTGGTTTCTAGGCAGGAGGACTGTCTGGTGTCTCACTGTTTCACATACTTCCCCTCTGCAGGCAGAAACAGCTCTCCAGGTCCAGCAAGGGAAAGGCAGGGGCGAGTCAGCCTCAGCAGCTCCCAGGTAGCCTGTGTTCAGCATGGGCAGTGGGTGGGGCCAGCCTCAGAGAGCCTCCCCCTCCTGATATGCTCTCGGAAGGAGAACAAGGCCCTGGGGGAGCTGAAGAGGCGCTGGGAGCCCAATAAACCAAGGCTGCTGCACACGTGGGGGAAGTAAAGGAAGGTGGACCTCTCCTTAGGAGAGGAGAGCTGAAATGAGTCTACCTCCCCTGGGTGTGAGCGGAGCTTCGCTCAGCAAAAGCAGAGGGAGGGCTTGTCCCGCAGACTTGGGGTCCAGGGGGTCACTGGCCATCCTTCACCCTCATCGGTGACCATAAACTGTATGCATGGTGCCTTCCAGCCCCACAGCATTTACATGCCGCGGGGCCACATGCTGCGGGGCCTTTTGACTCAGACGGTCCAGACAGGAGCTCTGGAAGCCGTGGTCTACAGATGGAGATGCTGCATATCTCCGTGCGAGTTCGTTCTTTAATGCCGTTATCCCAATTAAGCCACTCGGAACTTTTGAAGTTCATGAGCCATTTGCTTCAGACGTCGTTAAATTAAGGACAGATCCACTTCCCTGGTAGCAAACACCCAGCAACTTAATTAAAAGGGGCTCACTGTTTGAATTGCCACAGTGCCTCTCAATAGAAAGAGTTGGCCTCTCACGGGTGTAACTGCTTCTAATTTCCTTCCGCTCCAACTCCAGTGTTCACCAGACATTATCCCCCGTGATCAGCTGCCCTGTTCCCCTGCTCAGGCCAGCTGGCCACCGAGGTACAGAGAAAGCACCACAACCCTACCACCAGAAGACACAGATGAAAGGCACCGAAGGCCCAACGAAGCAACTTAGAGGTGATCCTTAGAAACACACATGAGTGAATTGCAGTGCAAAAATGAGTAGGCAGGACTCAAGTTGACATCTAAGCTGTCACATCCTCAAGGGGCTGGAGTCACAAGAAGGGATGCATTGGTGGAGACACCTTCAGTGAAGATGGGGACTTCCAGGTCTGGCTGCCCTCTAGGGAGTCTCATCTTTTGAGAAATCTGAATTTCACACCTGGGGAAAGTGTCTAATTCTCCTGGGCACTTTGGGAATTGTGGGACACACCCCACCATGCAGGACCAGGAGCCTGCCATGAGCACTAGCCATAGTCAAACATTCATCTTCCAAGCATTCCCGAAGTGGGCACGTCTATTGGCTGGAATCTGTTGGCTTGGGCTCCTCGGGGACTCCTTTAGGAGTTTAAGATGAAAACTCATGCAAGGACTTTCTGTGCCTCCCGATTCAGAACATGACTGGTGAGGGCAGTGAGAGGTAGACAAAGCCACCCTACAGGGAGGCCCTCCTCCTTCAACCTCAGGCAAACCGCTGACCCACATGACTTGTCCCTCTGCCGCAGCTTGTCACCTCTGTGCCTATGTACCAGGTGATTTTCCATCCCAAGCAGTTCTAGACTAGAGACATCTACACCTCTCCAGAGAGCATCAAGGTCAGAGGCAAGGCCTTGGGACTTCATTAAAGAATCCCTCAAAGCTGGTAGCAGCCAATCAGTGCAAGGATATGAGATGACGTTATTGTCGTCATCTACATTCCTGTTCCCATCATCATTACTACTCTCACCACCACCACACAAAAATCACCATCCGCAACATCAATACCATCCCCATTATCACCATCACCACCATCTCTACCAACTCTACAACTAGCATCACCTTTACCATTGCCATAGCTGTTACCATCAAGCTCATCACCACCAATCATCCCCATCATCATTACCATCAATTCCATCCCCAACTCCATCACTGTCCTCAACTTTATTATCATCTCTATCACCATCACCACCATTATTATCCTGTCATCACCATCATTATCACCATTACCATAACAACATTACCATTATCACCACTATCATCACCACCATCAGCAGCCTTGCCACCATTATCATCTCATCATTACCGTCACCAACATCACCAACTTCTTCAACATCACCACAGTCAATATCATCATCACCATCATTACTATGTTCACCAGAATGACTATCCCCAGCCTGACCAGTGCCAACGCCATCATCACCCCCTCCCATGGCTATCCATGCCAACACTATAACCTCACCATCCTGTCCTGACCATCATCACCTTCACCACCACCACTATCAATGCTATCATTGTCACCATCACCGCCATCTCCATCTTCATTATCGCCCTCATCTTCTTCACACTTATGTTAACATCACCAAACACCCACTGAACAGCTACGGGGTGCCAGACCCTCAGCTTATGAAAGAAGCTGTGAACTGTAATCTTACAGCAGAGCTAGTCAGTAGATAGCTCTCACGTTTGCATGGAGGCATGGATAGGGAAAACATGGTGGCCTAGATCACTACTCTACAACCCAGTCATCTAACCTGTCATCTGGCTCCTGAGAGAGGTGCTCTCTGGAAATTCCAGCACCTACTCTTTGTAACACTAGGTCCTGAGTCATTACAGAACACACACACACACACACACACACACACACAATAGGAAAGCCTGCACCTCCAATAGACACACGGGGAAATGTAACCCATCCTTTCTAAACTGTTCTACACAGAAGCAACCAAACCAAAATGCTGAATTCCCAAGCCAGATTCCAAAGATCCTTCTGTGAAGAACAGAACTGACTTCACGGGGTTCCAGGTTTCAGAGTGCCCCCAGCAGGAACTGGGCAAGATGACCAGACTCTCCAGTCCCTGCTGAGCTATCCTGCCTCTGACATGGTCAAGCACATCCTCTAGCTACTCTAGCTGGGTATAAAAACAGCAGGCAGTCTGCACAAGCTAGACTCTACTCATCACGGAACCCGCACAGCAGGCATGCAGGGCAAGAAGTTTCCAGCTGAAAATAATAAAGCTGTGAGAGGAGACCTTGCCCAAGGACATAAAACAGAGCTCAGAATCACAGGCACCAAACAGGCAGCCCTCACCACCTGCTCCTTGTTGCCTGTGGGACACCACAGGCAACAGCGAAGACATTCTTTATACCACCCCTATTGCCTCAGGTTCTAAATGCTATTGTAAACAAGCGTTAGGAGACTATATGGCCTTCCCTCGGTTATCCAAGAAAATATCCCACCTCCAGTACCAATGGCCAGCTCTCCTCAGGGTCTAAGGTGCATCACCTCTGCCAGGAGCCAGACTTTGGGGATCTTTCATGCCATCTCATCTCTCTCTCTGAGCCACCACTCTCCAGCCCCCAAGCAAGCCAGCTCAGAGGCCCCCCTCTCCTGCAGGCTGGCTTCGTCACCAGAATTTACATTTCTCTGCATTCAAAGCAAACATACATATTTTCCCTCTTCTAAATCTGTTTTGCTAAACAAATTAATCTAGCAGCAGATTATATTATGAAGAACCATAAATCTTTTCTGAGATAAGCATCTGTCGGGTTGGATTAGCAACAGCCGACGTACCGTGAGTTAATTTGCTGAGCCTCACAGTGCTGTCCCGGGCATTTAGCGTTTGTAATAGTAGATGTAATTTGGGACAAATGGGAACGTGTTTCCTCATCCGTGTCTATACAGTAAGTGACGTATTCAGGGGAGGTGACAGTCAGAGAGGGGAGCGCCAAGTTCCATTACGATTATGGCTGATGAGTCTGTGGACGTTAAAACAGATGCTACGGGAATTGCTTGTGGGCATCTGGCCCTGAGATGAACAGCCATGTGCCCCTTCCTTGACGCCTCTGTCCCCACTTCAACACTGTGAATTACCCGGGGAGACCGTGGGAGAGACTCTTATGCAGCCCTTGGTCTCTTTCCAGGAGCCGTCAGGCTTAGTGTTGCCCTTGCTCACGACGTGCTCTGTTTTCACAGGTGAGATCCCTGAGGACCAATGTGTGCAGTGGGTTCTGTCCTTCAGTGTAGGAAGGAAGGAAGGATGTTGGTGGCTGAAGGGCAAAGGTTGCTTACCCAATGAGCCGATGTCTGCCTGCCCAAGGTCAGAGGAGGAACAGTCAGGACAAAACCAGGTACCAACTGCCCAAGAGTGAACCTCAGGAGCTGCCTGCCCTGCCTCCTTCCATCAGCCTGAGGCTTGAATCTTGAGGAAGACAACTCCTCCCCACCAGCCATTCTTACTGATGCCCAAGGAGCTCCTGACTCCAGAGCAACAGCAAGGGCTGCTATTTGTGGGGATGTTGCCCACATGCCTTTGCAAACTTCTAAGACACTATGGCCATGCTGGGGGTTGTGGGAGGGGACTAGCTGCCAGCTCTCTCTCCCATGGCTGCTGGCATAGAGACAGATCCTGGCCTGGGACATGCTCCTGTTGCAGACATTAGAGAACAAGGCATGCAAGATGAACAGAGCCCCCACAGAAGGAGATATCTTGAAGCCAAGGAGCTGCGACTGTCCATAAGGCGTGAGGAGAAGATGCAGGGCCAGGGAGCCAAAGCCTTGCATCTTGTCCCCGCCTTCAGACGCCCTCCCCCAGCTGCTCCCTGGGGGGAAGAGATGAACCTTTCTGCAGAGCTTCCTTCAGTCAGCATCACAGGGAGTTCTTTCCCTTATCTGCCCTTAGTCTTTCCAGCTATTCAAGGCCATTCCTAACCTGAGGCCAAGTTCTGTCTAGCAGTGAACCAGCCCCAAAGGGCCAACACTCTGAAGGTTTTGAAGACCACACGGTCCCTTAATATTGAGTCTGATGTACCCCAGAGACTGTAGCCTGGATATCCGCATACAGGTAGACGCTGAAGTTACTGTGTTCCACATGGCAGCGTGAACATCTCCGCACACTCCTGTTCCAAAGCACCCTGCATCCTGCATCTCCCCCAACCAGAGCAGAAATACAAAGAAGTCCCCTACCTGAGGTCTCCCCCAAGATCCTTGGGGGCTGGATGTCTTTCCTGTCGTTGCTGGGACTGGTGGAAGGCTCTGTTGTGCTAACCCCAACAGGGGTCCTTTTCCAGGGATCTAGGAACTCAGTGACCCCCTTAGTCTGCAGTGTCATGGCGGTGGCCGTGGTGGTGGTGGTGGTGGTGGTGGCCACAGTCGTCTTCCGTGTTTGCAAGATGGACACCGTGGTGGGGCCGAATCCACCAGGGAAAGTATTGGATTCTAGGGCTTCCTCATCCCCAGTAGGCCCCCAGGCTATGAACTCTGTCTCTGTCGTGGGCCTGCCGCCCCGGAAGTTGAAATCGTTGAACCCCGTGTCATGTGTGTGCCTCCTACCCCGCCTTAAGAGGCTCTGATGCTCTGCTGTGCCAGCAGCCACCATGGAGGATGAGGCCGACGCAGAGGTGAGGGAAGGGCTGGATCCCGTGGCAGCTGGGGGCTTGGTGAGTCCCCCTTTGGGTCCGAGGGTGGCCACCTGGTCCCTGGGCCTGTGAGCCCTCCGAGCACGGGGAGTCTGCATCTGTATGGGCCCATGGGCACGTTCGGCCCGGGCAGCACGGGGACTCCAGGCTGGCGTTGGTAGCCTTGTTGGGGGTCCACTTCGCAGACTCCACAGCCGCTGGGGCCTCTGTGGACGCGAAAGGAGCCGGAACTCAGGCCCTGGGCCTAACGAGTCACAGGACGGGAAGTCAACTGCGAGCTGTAGCATGGCTATCAGTATCCAGGCATGGCTTCCCAGAGAGCGGCCGGGCCAGCGGATGGACATGGAGCTGAGGAGAGAGAGCAGAGCAGTCAGTGGACGGCAGCAGGGCCACCTCTGTTGGTTGTAAAGAGTTCGTCTGAACCTGGAAAGGGCCCCAGAAGCCTCTGGGCCAGCTCAGGTGCTCCGTGTTTCTTTACTCTCCAAGACAGTAATTGCTTGGGAGACAGGTGATTGCAGCCCAGGCACCTCCTGGATGATAACCAAGGAGCCCCCCTTTATGGCAAGGAACCCAGTCACGAAAGCCACCCCCCCAATCCTGCAAAACGCCCTTCAAGGCTTGGCCCACTATGACGCTGAGACTTCAAGAACACTGAAGCTACACACGGTGATGATAACATCTGCTTGAAGACCTGGGGCCTCTGTACATTAGAACCCACTCAAACCCAGGTGGCCAGCTGACTCCTGAGGCCTGTGCATGAATGGAAGAGGCCTTAGGCTCTGGGAGGCTGTGCGAGGCAGAAGGGAGGGGCCTCCCCCTAGAGTGCGGGGCCTTCCCCACCCATACCAACAGCACGGCCCTCTGGTCCTCCATGAACATACACCTGCACGCTCTCCACCTGGACACAGGCAAGCAAATCTCCTTACCTCTGGCCTTCCCTGGGTGCTGCTCAGGGAAAGCTGGAGGATTCAGTACTAGGCGCTGGCCCTGCTGACATTTCTACTCTCCCTGTTTATCTCCAGTGGAGATGCCCTTTGGAAACCTTCTCATCTTCAGCTGGGGCTGGATAGGGGAAGACCAGACTGAGCACAGCCAATCAGGAGATGAGACTGATGCTCGCTGTGCTGGGAGCAAGTGGGAAGAATGATAACAGCTCGTCCGGGACTTGTTGGGACAGTCCCCACCGGGAGTGGGGGGGGGGTGGCGCCACTAGCCGAGCACAAGTCCCCTCATGGACACAGAAACATCACACAAAAATCCAGAACAGCGTGCAGACCCACACAGCCAGGCATGAAGGGTGCAGCCCACGCTCCTTCTTCCTCCGGCGTAGGTAACTGAGGACCGATTATAGGTGCCACTCAAAGTCAGCCCTTGTCATCAACAAGCTTCACATCCGAAAGTTAGAAGGAATCTAAAACTTACCCAGAGGCTGCTGGGGGTGCAGGGCATCAGGTACACTGTGCCACCAATCTCCACAGCTGCGATTGCTGGGCCCAGAAACACACATGGGGTTGTTTTTCTTTATAAGGTGTCACGTGTGTGTTTTCAAAAAGTGAGTGCATGTGTCAGGGTGTGCCAGGTACATGCTTTGTGAAGCCCACGTGGATGTGTATGCTGGAAGGGGGTGGATGCGTGTGCATGCGTGCCGGATGCAGCTGCTTGTGCACGAGAGTCTGAGGGAGTCGATTTGTAAGTGTGTTTGCCAGCTTGAGAATGAGCACGTGTGGGCGTGCTGATGTGTCTACAAGTGTCCCCTGGGTGTGAGAGGCAGTGTGCAAGAAGCCACCATTATGTCCGTGTGTGTAATTATTTGTGTGTGCATCCGTGTGCCCTGGTGAGTGTACCTTTATCTGTACCTCCCTATGGGTCTATTCCTCCCTACGCCCGTGTGGATTTCAGTGTGAGCGTGCAAGCATGTCCTTGTTTGCCCTTCAGTGCATGTAACTGTGTTTATTCAAGGGTGTGCATGTTCTTTCTCAGCCTGAGCTGAACCCCACATGCCTGAAGCTGGCACCCCACCGATGCTTGGAAAGGAGTTGGTCCCTGAGAAAGAAATTTCAGTTCACTGGGACTAATTAGCAAAAAGGAATGGTCCCCAAATAATAAGGCCTGGCTTTTAATCAGAATGAAAGCACTTTGCTGCAGGAAGGGGGAGAGCTCATTAGGCTGATGCCTCTGGGCAGTTTCTACCTTTGTGTTGTTACTCTGCACGAGAAGCCAAGTTCCAGTAGGAACAGGGTTGTCATCACTGTGAGGAGAAATCTAGGTCAGCGTGAAACTCCCCTGCATACTAGGAAGGGCCTCTCCTCAGAACTGCTGGTGACCCTGTAGGTTTGGAACGGTGAGAACCCTGGGTCTTTCCCTGCCTGCATATCTGGATAGGTGCCTGTCTCCCTCTGAGTGAGATGCTCTGAGTAGTTGCGAGGCCTCACTGGGCTCTGTCAGGTCATCTAGGCTTTACGAAGCCTTGCCAGCTTTTCATGGTGCCACCAACCAAACCCCACCAGTATTGAGCAAACTTGACCTGGCCCCTTCAGGCTCCGCTAGAGCCCATCGGATCCCACCAGTTACCTCCAGACTTCCCTAGGGCCCCTGGGCCACTCCAGGACCCATTAGGCCCTACCAGATTCTACTGGAACACTCCATTACCTTCCAGGTCTCAATAGATCCGACCACGTCTAACAAACCCCTCTGGGCCCATTCAGCCTAACCAGACTCCACCAGATCCCAGCCAGCCCCGCTGGACCCCAGAAGGCTGCAAAGCTGCACCATGTCCTTCCAAGCCTGTTCTGTCTGTATTAGCACCGGAGCCCTCATCCCAGCTGCCCTAGAGACCCATCCAGCCCCGCAGCCGCCCTGCCAGACTTCTACCAGGTCCTATGCTAGGTCCTTTTAACTCCCCTAGGCCTATGCTGGCCCCGGCAGTCTCCACCACACCCCAATAGAACTCAGTAGGTTCCTTCGAGTTCTGCCAGATGCCATCAGGCCCCGTCAAGTCCCTCTAGGCGTCTCTAGCCTCACCGGGCAGGCTGACTGGGGAGTACAAAAGCAGAGCTGCCTGCAGTCAGTACTCGGAGAAATATCGCCCCAGGAAATTAAAACCACAGCACCTAAGCCTGGGCCTGCCTCCCCAGCACAACTTCACACACAGGATATTTCTGTGATTTTTCACCAATCATGGGCTGTAATTGGTTACCATAGAAACCTTCTCATTTCCAAGACACCCAGCTGTTATGCAGAAATCCCAAGCGCACACAGCAGTGGGGTTGGGGAGGCGGATGCCTTGCTCCTCCTCAGCCTCAGCCCAGCAGATCCCTTTAAAGGGGATGCACTTGTTCAGCGAGGGAAATGGAGGGCAGGTTGGTGGAGGTGGCTGTCAGTTGGGACAAGGGCTGGCCAACAGGGTTCTGGGTCCTGCATGAGGCCTGATCTCATGGCAGTAGGCCTGGTCTGCAGGGGACACACCTGGACTGGTCTTCAAGGACACCTGTAAACCCACAGGAGCCTCCCCTTCTCATGCCTCCTGCAGAACCTGGGTGTTCCGTGTAGATTTAGAGGTCCTCAGACATGCTCAAATACAAGGTGAAGCTGTTGATGGAGGGATCCACCTTGAAAGGCACCAAGGCATTGCCAGCTGTCTGCCATCCACCCAGACACAGAAGGAGGCTTTGCAACATGGTGGCCTACCCTGCTATTAACTGTTTACCCAGGAAGCCAGGCTGAGATGACACCATTTCCCTGAAACACCAGTATATTCAAGTGGCCCCTTCAGAATATGTCACCCACTTCACTCCTCAGTGTCATGGATGGCAATAAAGATGGAACACACCAGCAGCAGAAGCAGCTGGTACTGATGCTCAGAGACCAGAACCCAACCGCACATGGTGGGGATGTGAACTGGCCAGCCTGAGGTAGACACTTGGGAAATTACAGCAACGCTGCTGTGTCTATCACAGCCCTTAAAGTACGTACCTGTACACTCATGTGTCCACTGCAGCCCCTCACTGTGGCTCAGAATGCAAACGCCCCAAGAATCCCCCAACAGACAGGCACATGGGACACAACTAGACACAGAGTAGCTTTGACCCCTCCCCCCACAAAAGGCAGGAAGTACCATCCGCAAGCAAAGGCAACGGAACCTGGGGTAGGGCCACACGAAGGTGGGAGACTCAGGGCATGATCTCTAAGTCTGTTATAGACAGAAGCTCCCCAGACACTGCAGGGACACTGGTGGCCACCAAGATACAGGGGACAGACTGTTTGGGGGGAGATCGCCTCCTGGAGGGTTCTTTTGGGTGGGGGGGAACAGAATGTCCTGGAATTCATTGCAGTGACAGCTACACACCCTAGGAATACACCAAAAGAAACCACTGAACCTCACACTCAAAAGCAGTGAATTTAATGACGTGTAGATTACATCTCAATAGCAATAAGAGGAGAAGGGACCCAGAAAGGAGTGTGCGTAAGTGTTCTAGGGGCTGATGTGAGCTGTCTCGGTGTCCTTCTCATCCTGGGCCCTGGCTGCAAACAAGAAGGCCTGAGCCAGCCTTCTGAGTCACAGGCAAGGCGTGTGAATGCTGTGGAGACTCGGTGTCTCCAGTGGGCTCTGTGAGAGTCCCTAGGATTTAAGATCCCTCCTAGCCTCATGACGGTCACCTCTTGTTCCTCCAAGGACACCGTGCAGAGGGGAAACAGAGCCCGCAAGCCGTGCACACCAGTTTGCCTCCATCTACTTTTATTTTCTAGTTTGCAGTTCCTTGCTTCTCTTCCTTTTAAATTCTTATTGAAATCACTTTTCCCCGAGAATGGTTTAATAAGATTCAGTGGATTGAGGTTCAGTGCACTCCCTTCTGTATAGTTTCTCCGTGGAAGAAAATCATTGTCAATTAAAGGAGACAAAGACATCTCTTCACCCACAGTCATACCCTCCCGGGGGCCCAGATGTGGCAACGTGTGCTCCTGGAAACAGCAGATTCTTCTCGACGGGGCACACAGTCAAGGGGAGTTGGAAGGATGAGGCCCTGCTATTTTATCCCAGCTCTCCAACCTGTAGTTTGCTGAAGAAGTTAGCCGGAGCCCAGGCTTGTTGACTGTCTTCTGTGAGATCCTGTTCTCCCTGCACCATCCCAAGACAGCTGGAGTGTGGAGGCTGAGGTCTCCTTCCCTTCGAACAAGACCTGACCTTCCATGATCAGCAAGGTGTCAGCAAGGCTGGGAATGGCCTCAAGGAGATGCAGTCACAGAGACCACGGTGGTCTGGTCAGCCTGTGCAAGCCTGTCCTCTCTCGTGCTTGATCAGAGGGCCCCTCCACCTGGGTCTCAGCTGGGGTGGGGACACCGAGCCATGA